CTCCGCTTCCCCATTACTGCGCGAATGTGCCTGTTTCTACCTAAAATTCTGTCTCCCTCTCACACGCTGACATGCCATCCGAGCAGCATCAAGACCCTTGGATAGTGTCTTTAATGAAGTCTCATCGAAGCCATCACCGAGTACCGCCAGTCGCTCGATGCGGCGCACAGCTCGCCGATTTCACCTATGCGCGATGGGCTACTATACCGCCGTAATTACCTCAGTGAAGGTCGCAAGTGGTTGTTGGTGATTCCTCGCCATCTACGTGCTGATATTTGCGCCTCGCTCCATGCGGACCCCCAATGCGGCCACGCTGGTGCAATAAAGACGTATGCACGCCTCCGGCTGCAGGTACTACTGGCGTGGAATGTACCGATTTGTCCGCCAATACGTGAGTTCATGCTCAAAATGTCAACGCCGAAGAGTTCACCGCATGCCGTCACTGGACCGCTCCAGCTGTTGCCCTGCCCATCCCGACATTTTGATCGCATCGAAATTGACTTATACGGCCCACTTCCATACACACCTGACGGGAATCGCTAGGTGGTTGTCACTATTGATCATTTGACACGGAATGTTGAGACTGCCGCGCTGCCAGAGGCTACATCACGTGAAGTTGGCATATTTATTCTTCACAAACTTGTTCTTCGCCATGGTGCTCCTCGCGAGTTACTTAGCGACCGTGGACGGCACGTTCCTCTCAGAAGCCGTACAAGACCTCCTGCGTTAATGCAATATTGTTCATCGAACGACCAGTGCGTACCATCCCCAAACCAATGGCATGACTGAACGCTTCAATCGCACATTAGGCGACATGCTGTCCATGTATGTATCTGCTGACCACACCAACTGGGACCGCATACTACCATTTGTCACCTTATGCGTACAACAGCGCCACTCAGTCCATGACTGGATTTTCTCCCTTCTTTCTTCTATACGGCCGTGAACCCTCCACATTTATGGATACTTTTCTGTTGTATCGCCCGGATACTTCAGAGTCTGCAACTCTTCTCAGAAGTCACCACCTATGCGGAAGAATGCAGGCAGCTAGCACGTTCGTTAACTACACAAGACCAAGCACACAAGACCAAAAGACCGCCATGACGCCAACCTGCTTCCCCAGTCATATTCACCTGGAACATTGGTGTGGCTTCGCGTTGCCTCCTCAGCTCCAGGCCTTTCTTCAAAGCTGCTGTCTAAGTATTATGAAGGCCCCTACCGCATCCTGCGTCAAGCATCCCCGGTAAACTATATTGTCGAGCCCGTACAGTCATCCACAGACCGCCGTCGTCGCGGCCGTGAGACTGTTCACGTCGACCGACTGAAGCCGCACTATGACCCACCAGTTGTACCTGTGTATTAGGTCGCCAGGATGGCTCCTTTTCCGCAGGGGAGTGATTTGTAGAATGTATAGGGTGCATTTAGCAGTGCCTGCAAAACAGGAAGAAGAGGACCGTGATTCGTGCTTGTGACAGCTCTGATTTGATCGCTGAGCGCTTGACCTGTATTCGTTTTTAATAAACGCGTCGCGGGCTCAACGCTCAACGCGTACTATCAATTTTATTTATTTATTTATATGAAAATGCCAGAAAATACCGAGAAAAGGACTCCCGCGCGGAATTCTAACTTGGGTCCTCTCAAATGGGAGTTCGAGGTGTTAACTACCGAGCCACCGAGGAGCACGTCCTTCACCATTCAAACAGCAAACTATTTATATCTACCACTTACCGCTGCTGACGGGCGTCTCGGGGGAGGGGGGGTATCGTGTTTTCAGCGTTATCAGCAGGATGGCGCAATGAGCGCGCGCCGCCACATCGCGCAGCGGTGCACGCTCCAATCTCCCTCGCGTACGTTGCCCCGCGTAGAGGGGGAGGGGGGACGCGCTCCTACGCAAGTCTTTAGCTCCGGTGGGGAGGAGGGGGGATCGTACGTCTTGGCTGGCCTCAGGCTTTACCTGGAAAGATTCTGTTGTAGTTACCGGGCCCACAAAGGTCACTGCAGTCATTGCAGTCTCCGTTTGCGAAAAGCGCGCGCTTTTCAGACACAGCTTAGACGCTTATTCGCGTGCATCTGTACCTGTGCGTACGCTTCATTCGCAATTAGTGTGTGAGAAACGCGGGGCATGTTTCGGTCTGCTTTCCATTCTGCGTATGACCTTCCAATTAGTTGCTATCACGTTCATTGTTTCGCCTTTGCGACAAAGCTGTGGCTTTTTTTTTTCTGAGGGGGACACGCTCACTGCCCCCACTTAATTTCATTCTCCCCCACCCCCGGGGTTGCTTCTATTTAAAAACATCGTGTTTCAGCGTCACCGAAGCTTGAGCGCACGTAGTCTCAGGTGCTCCACCGCTGTGGGGCGCTAATTTCTTATGTTACTTAAGCGGGTGTTTCAAACTGAAGCAAAATGGTTCTGAGTTAATGCTGCTAGCAATAATTATAGGACGCGTTAGACCATTCACGCTGTAATTTCGGCGTTTCCATGACGCAACGCTACAAATTTCTGTAAAAACGTCACAAACAAGACTTTCGCTGGCAGATTTCCTTTGAGGCTGCGTAGTGGGTGCACAGCAAGTTCGAAATGGTTACAATGAGTATGTTGTGCCGAGTTGTGAATTTTCTGTTGACTTCATTATTGCTGCATTGTGCTTTCAGATCTAGACTGAAGTTGACAAAGAAATGGTTTGGGCACGTTCCCCTGCTGGTTGTTGTTTGTTTCCAGCCATACGAAATGCATCGTATGAATGTAAACTGTCACATGATGCATTACGGTTCAAAATATATGAAGCACTGTTTTAACCGCGTACAAATTATTGCGGTCTGGTTTGACTTACTACAACTCGACGTAGCATAAACAAAATATTGATTTTGCAGAAGGAAGATATCCGTCATATTATCAACACTGGTTACTTGTCTCCGACCTTGATGCATTTACGCAAACAAATAAATAAAATTCAGTACATACGTGAGTACCGCATTCTGAGAATATTTTATTATTTATGTACTTCGGTATTTAAACAATTACTTCAGGAAACTGCTGTTTTACAGTGCCACAATCACTTTATCAGCACTCGTATTAAAGGTGGCTTTCTTTTACCGTGTTTTCCCGATAAAAGCCAGCCACCTATATTACGAGTGCTGACTGCGCTGACTAAAAACTACATAATCGCACTGGCTATACACTACAGTCACTAGAAATATAACTTCCCATGTATTCTAAATCATCATAAACATTTACGTAAACTTGCATTTAGTACTTTACGTGAGAAAGAGAGAAATAAACGTTTATTTCGAAACAGTGTTCTGAGCGATGCCCGGCATCACACTAAGGTGGGAGGGTTCCCTAGTCCAGGAACCCTCTGGCTTCGACTGCCCTCTTGGTCCTGGCGACGAGTTGTTGTTGGTCTTCCAGATCCTCGAGGGCGAGCTTGAAACATTTCTGAATTACTGATGTTTATGCAATTTACATAATTGACAATCTTGTAGTCTATTTCTGTGTGCATATAGCTGTATATGATAAAGCACCTTTCTTATTTTAATATATTGTGATCACAGAAACGTTTTGCATAGTTTACTGCTTAAATTGTGGGTGTAATTTATGCTAGCGTTTCCTTTTTTACTTGTAGTATTGCCAATTTTCGCTTTGTAACTTTTCAGCATTCCGTTAGTATTGTTTGTTGTTCAACAGTGCTTTATAAAAAAATCATGTGCCTATGACACTTTGTATGGCTATTTTATGTGTTTCTTTACATAAAAGAAAGCTTTTGTTTGTCTACTTTTGAGTTTCCATTTTTTACAGCATCAGTCACTTGTTCGCCATGTGTAGTTGGTCTCCTGTGTCCAATTCAAGCAGTTTCATTACAGCTTTTAGCTTAGGAGTAAACGCTTTGTCCATTCTGGAAAACAAATAGAAGGAATCAATGCGATGCATTTCGTACGACTGAAAACAATCAACAGCGATACGATGCATGCACATATTACTTTAACCTCCTTTCATGCATCGCATTCCTACGATATTCATGCGGTTCTTCTCGGATGTTGATTGATTTTCAAAAGAATGATTCCCAAAGTATACAGCATATGCGCGTTTCCTTTTTTTTTTCTTGATATCAGGGCATATGTCATAAGCGTGGGATCATTCGCCATTGTACTGCGAAACTGCAACTTAATGCATGAATACAAAACGGAGCTTTTTGTTTTTAAAAGAAGTTAGGTGCCGGTTGACGTTCTATCTTGTCCTCTTTTTTTAATTTCGTATACGTGGGTTGACTCCTTAACTTTTCTTCAGAATACACCAACTAGCCCAATTACGAGTTGTAGTGACGCTTTTAAATGTCATTTCGACTGCAGTGCGCTCTGTATTACAGCTAAAACCACGCACATTACAGCTAAAATCTCGCATTGCTTCGTGGCATGTACAGCTCTGCTATTCTTTGCATTTCACTCGTTTTAAATCAACAAGAACAACACAGTTTTAAATCAGCAAGAACAAAAGAAGCATTATGCACTTGCTAGCTCCAAAATAATCGGACTGGCAAACATTGTGTTTTGCGCCTGTCTCTGTTTTTATTATTCCAATAACCAATGGCAAGGGATGTTGGAAGCTGAAATCGTTCATGCGGCGTGGTGTGTTTCTCTAAATTCTTCACACATCGCATACATATTCTTTCTTGTAACTAATTATTTACATCGCAAGCTGCTACATTGTTCCATTTCATGTCGCCGGTAGTAACGGAACAGACACGCCAAACAAGCGCGCAGAGTTGCTATATTGCGAGTTTGAATCGTGCAGGCGCTCTGATGCGTTTTTTCAACCTTACAAATCGTGTGCGATTACTCCCTAGTAACCGTACAGTTGATATACTGAATACGCTTGTAAATGACAATTCACATCGCGATCTACAGCAGCGCGATGTTTCGTGTTGCGGCTCGGGGAAAGGCCACGCCAAACAAGTGCGGCGAGTCGAACGCTGTTACCGAGGGTACCTCGGTACTTGGCGCAAACAGGGGTGCGCCTCTTGCGTAGCGTTATCAGCCGCCGCTCTGCTCGGAGCAGTAAAGGACAAATATCAGTCGGGCGAACGAGTGGATACCTCTTGCCGCGCGTCATAGGGAGCTCAGCTCAACCCGCCGTTGGTCGGCTATCGGGGGTGCTCTGGGAGCCTACAGCGCCGGAGGAGCGAACGCCGCAACGGATTCGAGTGAACGAGGCACGACACAGCAAGTGCGCGCATGTAACGGCGGTACGTATAGTGGTGACTGTTTCCGACATCGTACAGTGAAAGCTTGCTAATTCTAACTCCTTTAATCTGAACTTACACCTGATTCGAAGTGGCGACCATTGTCCCGGCACAGTTATAATTCGAACGTGTCGGTGTCTACAACGGTTAATTCGAACTGGAAACCACCTAGCTTTCGTCCCTCCTCGCAGAAATCGGTCCAGAACGATCCCCCAAACTACTGATTACTTTGGCTTGTGTAAAATGAGTGTAATGATGGATTCCAATGTGTGCTTTTTTATGGTTGTAAATATCGCCCGTGTGCTGCTGTACTGACGCACGGATGGCACGGCCAAGTCAGGCAATGTTAGCCTTTAGCGGTGTCTTTGGACAGTTTTTATATTGTTTTAAACAAACTAGGCAAAAAATACTTTCATTTCTGATTGTTAACTCTGTCATGTAAACGAACTTGTTTCTGACCACAAATAGTGTCATATATATTGGCATTAAGGTTCATTGTTCTCGTGAATGCAAGTTGCCGTGCTTTCCTCTGTCATATCACCGACTTAGGAATAACTCCCGTTTACTGTTAAAGCATGAACTGAATTAACGAAATTGCCTGCCACAAACATGTAGTGTCGCTTAATTTGTGAGAACGAGTCCTGAGGCGGCTTTAGTGGATCCACCCAACACAGTGTGGAGCGATTTCCGCTCATCCTATCGCCTGCCTGCTAATGCTAACTCCACTTGATTCGAACAATTTTATGGTCCCCTTCGAGTTCGAATTAAAGAACTTTTACTGTTTAGCTTCACAGACCTGTTTATCTGATGTCACTTGTAGTGATCTTTTTTTTCCTTTTTTTTTTGATGATCTGCTTTTGTAATATCACTTCTTTTTTCCACAACTGAAGTCACGAAATTCAGTCTCGCAGTGGAGAAGGTATGAAATGAGAAATGATGGAGGGGATAGGGGAGTGTGAAAATACTTAACCTTAACACTGCCATTTGAGACAATGGCTTTGCGATATCCAATATGTCAGTATCAGAGCACTGCCGCTCCGTGTACGTGGGCCTCCTTTCGTGTTTGAGCCGTCTGAGGGGCGTTTATTTTCAGTGCAACGGCGTCACCGGAACACCAGCAGACGTTCGAACTGGCGTGTGTATATTACGCATTCTGCCTGCGCGCTGCATGCAGTGGTGTAATCCCCGTGGGGTGCAAAGTCCCTTCTCGACCGAGGAGCCCGGCCGTAGCCGCCTGCAAGTGTATAGGTGTTCTGTGGCCTGCAAAGCAGTTAGCTTGGAGGCGCGAAGTGGGATGGATCGCGAGGCAGCCAAAACAACGACATGTAACGTTTCCTTTACTACAGTTTACTTTACAAGTTAAAATTGAATTATTCAATTCATTATTACCCTCACATCCATATGGATCGTTTTCGAAGGGGACTCCGGCATCAGGATTCAAGAATCATACCAATACCGTTCTGAAGAATGACTAAAATCTGGACTTTGATTCTGAAATACAAATATCTTGTTCTATGGTTATGTTTTAGCTCACGGTGATCGCATGGGGTGCCTGACATTAAGAAGTGCTAGGGTGTGTAGGAAGGAATTCCTTGGGGCTAACCAAGAATATGGATACAAGGAAGAGATGTGGAGTTGTGCCTACTGGCAAGGGACTTTTATTGAACGCAGCTAAAGCGGTGGCTTGGGCGTGTTGGTACGACATTGTGAAAAAGGAACAGCGTAAAAAACAAAAGACCAGACGAAGAAGGACACGGACAGAGCACTGACTTACAACAAATACTTTATTTTTCAAACCACGCACATATAGTTATGCAGCGGAACAAAAAAAAAAAGAAACACAAGTGATAGTCGAAGAAAAATAAAAAATGAGATTATCAAACCAATCCTCATAGCTCGTTTTAATAAACGGATGTTTACCCTTCCAACCGTCACGCATGCGTAAACTTGGCACCTGGAGCACTGTTCATTTATTTTCAAGATGAGTTCTTTGTACAAAGGGAAGGTATTTGTATAGATTCGTGTGGGGCACATGTTTTTTTTTTTTTCTTCAGTACATTTGTGGCGCACGTTGGGAACCCCCTTTCCTTTCAAGACAAGTTTCTAACGTGTTTAGATACTTAGCCAATTTTTTTTTAAGGAGAAGCTATGCAAAAGGCGTCCCCTGCGTTTGTCGTTAATGTTTTCAGATACTTTTAAACTACTTTGCCAAGGGCTCAAGTTTACCCACGAGCTTACGGCTAATGACAAGCTGCAGTTTTTTAGATCTTCATCTTATGCTTGACGAAGATCACGTATGTTGAATGTATGATTCTCATCAACAAAATTAATTTTTATCATGTCATTCTGCTCACTCTAAAGTAGTGAAAAGCCATTACGAGTACCAGCTTGCACATGACTTTAACTAAGGCTTGCCCCCGACGTTCTTCAGGAAAGCTTTGGGTTGCAGATTTCCAGACATCTTTCTGGCTGGTTTTATCTTTATATGTGCGTACTTTAGTGCGTGAAACATTACTGGAAAAGTTTCGTTGCAAGCCTACCAGTGTTTCAGAAAAAAAAAAGTGCAAAGACACAGGAAAAGTGCCCTGTTTTCATACCGTATGTGCTCACAGTGGCTAATTTTTAAAAAAAACGTTGGCAGTTGGTCAAGGCAGTTGGCCCTGATGGTATTTCACCTCTCGTGTTAAAGTACTGCGCTGCAACCGTCTCCCTTTATGTTTTCCTTATCTTTACGCAGTCGCTTCGTGCTAATGAATTGCCTTAAGACTGGAAGATAGCCCACGTTGTGCCAATTCATAAAGGGGGCTCTAAAAAAGATGTGCAGAATTATAGGCCCGTCTCCCAGACATGTATTGTATGCAAATTAATGGAGCATATAATTTACTCAGCCATCATGAGTCACCTCACCAAGAACAATATACTAATTAAAGTACAGCATGGATTCCGCAAGGGCTTGTCCTGCTCTACACAACTTGTAGAATTCTATCACGATTTAGAGAGTGAAATTGTTGCTGAGGGCCAGATAGATTGTGTGTTTTTAGATTTTCGATAAGCTTTCGACATGGTTACGCATTCGCTTCTTATTTACAAACTACAGCAAATAGTTATACATAGAGATGTTGTAAAGTGGATCGAAAATTTCTTATCGGAGCGCGGGCAGTGTGTTGTTATTAATGGCGAAAAATCCAGTTACGCAAACGTCACCTCAGAAGTCCCTCAGGGCTCTGTATTGGGACCTATGTTATTTTTGATATACATAAACGATATAAACTTAGGTATTACGTCCTCCTTGCGACTGTTCGCAGACGACTGCGTGGTTTACCGAAGTATATCTTACGACGAAGATGCGACAGCGTTACAGGGAGACTTGAACAGAATAATGATTAGTGTAAACAGTGGAACATGTGTTTAAACGCGAAAAAGTGCGTCCATATGTGTTTTAATAGAAAGAAAAAACCACTTATAAATAACTATTCTATAAATAAGGAAGTTCTTACCACAGGTAATGTCTCTAAGTACCTAGGCGTCGTGTTTTCTGCTGACTGCTCATGGAATGAGCACATCAGTGAGAAAGTTGGTAAGGTTGGACGGGCGCTGAACTTTGTTCAATGAAACCTAAGATGTCGCGAAGTTGAATTAAAATGGAGTGCATTTATTCCATATGTTAGACCTATAATAAATTACGCCTGCCAACTACGGGATCTATCGGAAGCCAGTCTCAATTCTCATATAGAAGGTATCCAAAACAGGGCAGTCAGTTACGTACTGGGCAGGTGCCGTAGAATGAACAGTGTCACAAGGATGAAAAAGGAATTGAATTGGGAATTGTCTTCGCGAAGGCGTAAGTTAAAGCTAAAACTGTTTCAATATACAACACCAAGGTAGGCATAAACAAAGATAATTATTTAAATACACCTTTTTATGTTTCTATGCGTAATGATCACAAACACAAAATCCGTGAATACCGGCCCAGGACGTGCATGTTTGCGAATTCTTTTTTTCCGAAGTGTGTAGCCGAAAGAAACAAGCTCTCTGAAGAACAAGTCTGTTGTGTAAATGGAGATATATTTGTATCTCTGTTGTAAAAACCCCCTGCTGTAACGCCCAAGGGCCATGCGGGGTAATTCTTTAATAAAGAAAAAAAAAACGTAGCCCATGGCTTTGAGGTCCCTGTCATGTTTTCGGCTTCGCGGGCATTTTCATGCCTTCGTGCTCGATCGTGTGGCGCATCAAGTGCTGAGTACGTTGAAAACACACAAAAATCTTTTCCGGTTGTTCAGTAGGCGTTGCGTAGAAGATTCTCTTGGGTTGAGGCAAAGTGTACGTACATATGTCAGTGGGGTCGTTGTTTAAATTATCGCTAAAGAGAGCGCGTGCAATCACTGAGAAACGACACAGGTTCGCACCTGTCACGTCACTGTTGATCGAACAGCATGTGTATTTTAAGACGAAGCAACGAGAGGGTGACAAGTAAACTAGTGGAGGTGATGTATATTCAAAGAAAATTGGAGACCAATGCATCCACGTCCCGTTTGTGCCTCTAATAAATGCATAGCATTTCTCGGCGAACTTCGGCAACATTGAGAGTATCTTTCTTTCTATCTATCTATCTATCTATCTATCTATCTATCTATCTATCTATCTATCTGTCTATCTCGCCACCTACGAATTTTTGAAAAGGAGTTTGCTTTCCAAGCTTATAGGTCGAAATGGTACATCTTGGTGTATTTTTCTTTGTTATCTATCATTGTTTTTGTTAGTCTACGCATGCTTGAAGGCTTAGCAGCTAGGCATCGGTTTAAAAAAAAGTCAATTAGGCGGTACGCTTGTCGATCTCCTTTCTTCGTGCGTGTTTCTTGGTTTGCGCCCACGAATTTCTTTCCAGTTAAGCACCATCTAGCCCGACTTGTTTTTGTGCCGGAGTGCGTGAATAGTGATTTTCAGAACCGCTCCGAATACGAATCGAATAGCCATGGCATCGGCTTGAATACAAATTGAATACTATTGAAATGCTTTTGCAATAGTAAGGCGACAATTTTATAAGAAGGCGTAGAGTGGTAATTTAATTACTTTAAGACCGAGAAATCTACGGCATTTTTTTGCAACAAATGTTCACTGGGTTCAATAAAATACCATTATGCTAGCAATTAGCCCATAAACATATACCGCATTTTTGTGAAATGAAGTGAGGTCCTATACAGTGGCAACTAGAGCCGCTGAAGTATTTAGTTGAAACATAGGAGGGACTGCAGAACGCATGGTGGCACTTTATAAATAGCGTTTAAATAAACTTAAGTATGTATACAATTTTAATATTCATGGGTCAACATCATCTTGTATGTCGTGACGAAGTTTCGCTTTATCGACAATGATGTTTTAAGCAAGAAAGCCTTCTTCTTGAAAAAGAATATAATGCTAATGTCAAAGCAAAGCCTCCGGTGTAAGCATCCTGGTAATTCAACAATCAAAGCTAAAAATCTGCTCTTTACTGTTTGACCATTCTGCCCTTTCGAAGTGTTTTTATCGGTGCGTAATATTAAGAAATAATCGAAACTATCAAGGTGTTTCTAATATGCACTTATATTCCATTGGAGTACCGAATCGAATAGAAGTCCAGTCTATTCGTTATTCGAAATTTTATAATGTTCCAGCACCGCTACTTTAGACAAGTCATGTCTCTGCAGCTTGGACAAATCATTATCTACTTGGACAAAGCATTATCAATCGCGATAGGAACCAAAATAATGCGAGTTTTATTATTAATTCTGTTCCATCATTTCACGCTGCCAAATGTAGATCGTTGTATATGGAATGAACACATGCTCAGACAATCGGCTTTAACGGGAACTGGGACGGTTGTGTTAGAAAATGGAACGAATACGTCTATTTAGAGTTGGGCGACCACCGAAATGTCATGTCGAATTGACTTCAAATCGAATAGCACCGAATAGTGGTAAAAATATTTAATATCGAATCAAACATCGAATACAGGATATACATAGTGTGCACGTGCGTCACGCAGCGCCCCTTCGTCACTTCCGAAATGAGCCACCGACATGCCCGGGTACCTGCCGACTCCGTCGCCTACCGCTACCGCGTTGTCTACTCGTGCTTGCGCCTATTTAGTTTTGCCTCACGATGCAAGTTTGAGGGCTGCTAGTGAGGCAAGCTGATTTAGTAGTCCCGAAAAGAAAGCAGAGCTTCGGGGTGTTTCTTTAGCGAAAGTTATTACTCAAAGTTGAGAACGCACTTTGCGGTTTTCCAAAACGTACCGTCGTGTTTGGCTGGCGCGGATTAACAAAAAAAAACTACTTGAAGAAACTCGGTGCTATTTGCGTCTTCAGACGCAACTTCATTCCGGGTAAGTGCCATAGTCAAGCATTTACCTGCAAACAGAGATAGCTTACCAAGATACTCTACATACAAACTTGTCCGCGACCACTGCATGCACAATCAGCGTGTCAGGGAGGCGGTCCAAATCGTGATGGTGATCGCGGAAATTCGGGTATTGCATTGAAACAAACTGTGCATGTGAATGCGAAACAATATCAGTTAACATTGAAGTATAGCCGATCGGTTCGAGTTGGGGGGTCAGGATTTTCAAAAGTTAATTAATTTCCCAACACCGTCTCCATCATTTTCAGGGTCTCCACTGTACATTACCGTACAAAAAACAAAGTAAAATACAGGGTGAAATAGGTGTCAAAACATACGCGAAAAAAAAGTGATGACCGGCATTACCGCGGCACGCACAACGCTAAGTCTCTATCTGCCTCGCATAATGTTTTCCTCGGCTGTTTCCACAAATTTCAATCAGACAGGCTCAACATCAGCACTGTTTAAAACACTTGGGTGGGGGGGGGGGGGGGGGGGGGGGATGCTGCTACTTTGGTGGCGTGGGCCGCAGCAATATATTAATATTAGTATTACATCTCTTGTAAGCTTGCCTAGCTTTGCAGGACTCATTTTCGATGGGAGCTACTGCGCTTCGCTCATCCGCTCTTAAAAGTGTGGCTCAAGAAACTTTGGGCTTTCACTTGTTTTGGGCCACGCAATTTGTGGTGTTTGTAGTGAAAGCGAAATAATGGGCCCTCGTAGGGCAGCCGGTGTTGGCGGTGGCTGGTATACGTGTCGCACATCTTGATTTTCTGATCTTGTATCGAGTGAACAAACGAGGCCTTCCTGATCCGATGAGCTCGTTAAAGTACGACCACAAAAAAAAACACATTGCTTCCCTTTCAACATCGTACACAGCAACAGATAACGAGCCCCCCACAAACCGTGCTGCAGCACGCGAACTGCCGTAGGTACCCAGGCATGGCGGGAGAGGGCGGCAACGGCGGAAGTGACATCACATGAACACTATGTATTGTAGGGAAACTTTCAAGAACTGATTACAGTAATGTTGAGCTTATTCCTCGCCAAGAGTGATCCACGCTCAAAAATGTTCGTACCACCGGAGTCAGCAACACATTGCCGAATCGTTGTAATGATCTTAATTATAGCAATTGTTTATTGGCTGTTTATTGTAATTATAAACTTGGACTTTGTTAGTTCATTTTAGCCCGGGTATATGTGAGCCTTTCTAGCTTTTTGTGGTCTGTATTGAGGGCTTTACTGTGAGCGTGATCATACCACTCGAGGGGGTTATAAAAGCCGGGCACCTAAAATACTCCGCACTTAAAATCACGACAGAATCGGCACAGAGCTCCGATCCGTCAGGATTTAAAGCCAGCAGAGATGGTGTGCATATAAGACGGTGCACGTGTATAAGAGACGAAAGCAAGATCAGAACGGTACTTTCATCGATGAGGTCTCCGAGGTCTTTTATTGTGAAGACAGACGCTTACCATCTGAGAAGAAACAAATTCATCTTAACTTGCGAGCCCATAAAACACCTACCAGTTCTACCTATCACCTACCTTAACAGGGGAGCCCTCGACAGGCTGGATAGGTGGCGCCTTCTAGTTGGGCCAAAATGAATTAGGCAATCACAAAATTGTTATTGCAGAAACATCTAGCATTGTACGCCTGCTGTAAAAACCTCGCAGCGGCGTAATTGCGGATGAGTTACCTTAAGAATCAATTTCACTTCAATCACATTAGGCGTAAGCCGACGTGCTCGTGACTTTGGTTGCTCGAAGTTTTTCAAGGTGTCGACACCATTGTTTGCGTTAACCTTGTATTTCTTTACTATTTTTCCCGTACGAGGGTATTGTGCACGATAAAAAAAATGTCTCCTGATTTTTCCGCAGCAGTGATTCAATCCTATCTAAGCTAATTATAGTTTAAGTGCAGTTAGCATACCTTTTATAGTGTGCGAATGCGTTAACGTATACGTTTACGTACGTACGTACGTAGCACTTTTAGTTATGAAAAATATACTTTCGCCATCGATTCTTCTTGAAGAAGCGCATAAGCACCTTTTCAGCTTTTCCAATGGGAAAGAGAAAAGAGGTTGGGAGGTCGGGAGAGAAGATGGGATGTAAAGCATTGCTGAAAACACCACATTGTTTCCTTTTTCCTCCCTTTTTTTACTTCCTTCCTTCTTTCTTCTTTCTTCTTTCTTTCCTTTTCTGCACTTTTTGGAATGGCACAGGCAGGACGTGTTCTTCATTGGCTGATAATTAATGCGAATAATATTTTGAACTACTTTCCGGTGAGATCGTGCTCGAGGAAATACGCGCCGTAAACTCTAAGCAAGCTCTAATGCGGGCGCGGAGGGAACCTCTCATGAGTTTCGAAGGTATGTCCATCCGCGATGGGTATGGCAGATAACTGCAGCAAGCGTTTTCTCCAGTTTCAGCTCTTCTAGAAAGTGCCCCGTGTTCTCGCCGTCTTTCACGAGTATCGTGATCATTTGCGATAGAAACATGGGTATCTTAAAAGTGTTGATTTCATTATCGCCTTCCCTTATTCTAGGACGCTGCAATAGTCTATTATTGCGGTCCATGAGAGTAAATGCCGCAGTAAGCAATAGCAATGCAGGGGAGAGAGGTTAACAAAGTGGGAAGAGTGCGCCGTACGTACCTGTCGTGCAGCTGGTACAGAAGCTGAGGTGAGCATGTAATTTTGAGGCACCTTTCTTAGTTCCGCTACAACTTCGGTGAATGAAATAGTGCACTGAGCTTACCCAACATGTTTACCCTGATTGTCACGATATCGAATTGCACAATGCAATACTCAATTGCCTTTCGAGATGCCATAGTTGATTAAGAAGCTATAAATATTTCTGAGCAAAATATTTTTCTTGTCGTGTTCGACACGCCATGCAAGCTGCTACGCGCTCACTCTGCCTTTTTGAGCGTTTACCAGGTGCCACGATGTGTTCGAAGAATCGAACTCTCAATGGTCTTGTTTTATGCTTTCATCTTTTCTTTTCTAGACGCTGTGGGCACTTCAACGCGTTGCAGGGAAGCTACCTTAACTCGTGGACGCAAGCAGTACAATTGTCGGTCATCGTTTCCTGCCTTCGAAGGCTCACTGACCTATGGTTTATGGACACTCACTACCACGGCCATACTTGAGACTTGGAACATACGCTGAACAGCTTCAATAACGCAAGAGGTTCGGCAAACTTCGTTTCTCGTGATGCATGAATTACCCTGAGCTCGAAAAATCACGGAAGTTCAAAAGAGCGAAAAAAAAAAAGCCGCATTTTGCACAAAAACATGGTCGAAGAAGAAATGGCTCACTTTGACTTCCAGGATGCTGATACCGAGGAGTTTTTCCGTAAAGGTTTGCAAGATATGTACGAAGATTGGGATGCAGCTCGACTCACCAACGCTTTGATGCAATATGGCAGCTATCTCATATATCGAGAGGAATTTTCAAATAGGGATGCGGCTATGCTCCGACGACTTTTCAGTGCACGACCGCCAGTCAGGATTCTTTATATATCCGAAATCTCGCACGGCGCGTTCCGGACTGCTTTCGACGGCCAGGGGGAATGTCCATCACTGAGAAAAATTCATTTTGATCGCATTGATTGCGAAGGTCAGGATTTGGGCATCGATCGTTGCGAAGTACTCAAAAACGTTCACTCGTTGGACTTGGGAAGCGTCAACGTGGGAAGAGGGTTCGCGCAGGAGGTTGCAAGCTACATTCGACAGAACGAGTCCCTGGAGGAGCTGTGGCTCCACGTTTCTTGTAGCCCAGACCAAGACATAGGACCTATTATCGAATCTCTAAAGGTAAACACCACTCTCAGGGAGTTTGGACTGAACAACCTGGGATACGTCGCCCAGATTGCGTTTGGAACACAGAAAGCATCGGCAAAACTGTCGGCCGATGTCTTAATGGGCTTCGCGGAGATGCTGGCGTCCAACTCAACGCTGCAGCTGGTGGACGTCAGAGATTCGTTCCCCATCGAAAGAGACATGGTGTCGTCATTACTGGCGCAGGAAGAACACGCAGGCGTCTTCAAGAGGATTTGTATCGAGTGGCCCGAACAGCTGCTTCCGGAATTGACTGAGCTTATCCGAAACGAAGCATGCTGTCCCAAGTTGCACGTCATCGTCAGCAGCTTCGTCGATGAAAGAGTGCTTCGGGAGTTCCTTGACGCCGTGGTCGCCTTCAACGGACTCCTGGAGCTCCACATTTTCCCTAACCACGGGCAACAGTCACCATTCGAGCGCAAACACAATGTAGTAGCGCAACGTATCGCTTCCCTGTTGCGGCGCACGACGACACTCCGCGAAATCTCCTGCTACATGCACGCGGATCAGCGTCATCTCATAGCCATCCTACATGCCTTGAAGAGGAACACTTCCGTTACGAAGTTCGTAATTGACGCTGTCGCGCTTACGGGTGAATTGATGAAGTCGCTGTCCGAGTTGCTGGCCGTGAACAAAACGCTCGTGTACGTGTGCATCTTATATTCCATCGGGAGTCTGCCCCGCGAGGTCGAAGACGTCCTGCAAGCTTTGAGGACGAACTACACTTTGACCACTCTCGATTTTGGAAGTTTACTCCGATCATTACCCCCAGGTGCACGAAATCAACGTGCTCCTACAGAGGAACGTTCTTCTAAAGAACAGGGCTGCCCAGTTCGTCACTACAGGAGCTGACATCAACGACGAGGAAGGCGTGGATGCTCTGAGAAAAGTGCAAGCAAGCTCTTGTCTCGTGGAGGAAGTGCAGGAGCTCACAGGCAAGACATCGGAGCTGGCGTTACAAGAAATACGGGCAGCTTTAGCTCGCTCGCCTATGTGAATGCGGCTACGACGAAGTATGCTGTTCTAGTAAAAGCATATCGACCTTCGGCCAACCCGCATTCACTGAATTTTATATATCTAAGTGGAACTATATCTTTTGTAGCTTTCTTCGTGTGCAGTGATGACAAATAAGAGTTAGCACATAATATTTATTTTGTATGAAAGCTCCATGCAATGCCACTTTTCGCGCTCGTCTGGCGCAGTACTCCAAATGCACGTGCGGAATGGTTGTGCAAAAAAAATTATTACCGAGTGAATAAAATTGATGCTTCACCAAGTGTTTTACCAAGAATAATTTTGTACACACTTCGAAATTTCGCCCCATTAAGGGCGTAATCGAGGTTCAGCCCAAACAGGACACACTTCGTGCCTTTAAGCGCTTGAATATAACGGTGCTAGCAAGAGGAACAGGTGGCAGCAGCATAAAATTTTGAAATCTGTAATCGTTGAACACTTATTGAAGTGTGATTTCTTGTCTTTTACATCATGTGCAAATGCTCCTGCAATAGCGCTATACGCTGATTCACCGGAGATGGATTGACGCACGACATCACATGAGCAAAAAAAACACAAAAATAAAACGCCAGGCCTGCGCAGAAGGCGCAGCCCAGTCATAGTGAAAGCTAGAAGAGTGCATGGTCCTTTCAGGAGCCTTTTTTAAACACACATTGGGTAACTGCTGCAAGCACACTTGATTGATACCCACTACGGCATTAGGAATAAAAATGTTTGGGTAGTAGGCCGGCATTCGCTATGCTAACTTTCGTCACTCTTCTGAGAGTCATGGTAACCGTTAAACACTTGAAAGAAATTTTGTGCCAATCGTTCATGCAGTGGCTGACGACGATGAGGAATTATGCCTGAAGTGGGTATGCGCCACAGTCAATTGGGGATCGGAAGAAGCTTTTGTAAAGGGTTGAAGCAATGGCACGATCCACTCGTTGCACTATTCGCATTGTGCGACGACTGATGGTTCTTTCGCTATTCCGAAATGCTTAATAGGTCGTACGTGATTTCTTACCCGATATCAAGCCTGCCTAAGCCAAGTTTGCTGACATGTCCCAAGTACCGGCGTGGCTCAGTGGTAGAATACTGGGCTGGCACGCAGCGAACCCGGCTTTGAGCCTCACTGTGTCATTGATAGTTTTTTATTCTCATTTCGTGCGATGTGGTTACGGACACCGACGGCGGCGGACAACTACGGCACCGCGCGTGACCCGAGTTTTGATCTCATAGCAGCTTTCGCTGTGAAAGCGTGAAATGCCCAAACCTGCAGACGATGTCGTGTGACACGTAGTACCCTGCAGGTACCAGTATTTGGACTGGTATGCGTATAAACCAAGGAGTATTTCGGAACACCTACATCTTTCCACATCCATGCCACTCGTGACGCTTTGTGCAGATGTTCCGTGGAAACGCGTTGTTTTTTTTTTTTACCCCAATGAGTGATATGAATGTAACCAACCCTCCCCCCATGAGCCAAATGCATGCCCAGGCGATGGATGCTTGCTCAACATCTATACATGCATGCCTTAAAATCCAAATGCACTGAGGCCAAGTGTTTACTAATTCTAAAGTTATATACACATTCACAATGAAAGCGCGCACGACAGCTGGCCACATTTTGCGCGTTTCAGCAATGTGGGGCACAGGCGGGTATTTATACATATAAAATGGAGGGATAATTAAGGCATCGAAGTAAATTTATCAAAAAGATAATCAAATAAGTAACACCCCCCAAATACTTATCAGCTTATCCGATTCAGTGTAGCATACAAATGAAAAAAAAAGAACAGTTGGTGATAATACATGTGGGCGATGATGTGCAGTGCTTTTCATACCCTGCTGACCAAACACTATACAGTAAATGGTGCATTGGTGACTCTGCATCAAGCAATCCAAAAGCACCAAACTTCCCGAGCTTTTCAGTTTTTCTTGCAAATGTTTTGACACTTAGTTAATGAAAGTTATTAGTTGATAAATGGCAACAGTGCAATACAAAACGCAGCCTGCTTTTCGTTTTAGATAAGGACGGTTGGTTAAACACTTCATGCAGTGAATGTGAAGGAAGCCAAAGGACGCATATAGGAAGCTCTTGTAGCATTCGCAATGGCAAGCTGCCAGTGTAATTATTAAATGGCTGGAAGGTGAAGGGTTATAAAGTAAAAAAGAAAAACAACGACTTGCTGCCAATGGAAGAACGACTCACCACCTCTGAAGATAACTACACAAATGATTTTTATTACTAACACCACAAATAAAGAACAGCACTCTCGTAAGCTCTTGTTTGGTCGCGGTGAATGTGGACTTTCTTCGTACGTCTTACAACAATTGTTAGGCCGAATAAAACAGCTTGTCTCACTCCATTGTTTGTTAGGCCACGCAGCGAATAGAGAGAAAAATGCCTCGAGGAGGAGGCGACGCATAGCGCTTTCACGGGCCTAGTGTGAGCCCTGCCAAGAAGTGCTTATCATGCAGGCAGAAGGGTCTTTTGGGGGGCGAAGCTCCTTATAGAGGCACCCGTTTGTCCCTCGTAGTCGTATAGTCGTAGTGTGTAACCAGTCTTACATTTTGACCTCCAAGGTGGTGCCGGTGAGAGATTTCTTTTGTATGTTGTTGAACAATAAAAAACTCACAGCGTGCGCGTTAACTAAAAGCCGAATTCTCCTGTCTCTCATTTTTCATTAGCAGCCATTGGCATGTACATTGAGCACTATCTGACAAGAAAGGGTTGCTACATTGTACTCACTGGGTGTAACCTCCTTGGTTTTAGAAAGATTTAGCGAGGGTTGGGCCGCGGTGCCATGAATACAGTGAACTAGTATATACCATGAACTCAAGGTGGTTGAAGGTGGGAAGTAGACCCGAAGCGCAAGCCGTAATAAAGTGTGCGTGTGCCACCTCTAGTTTAGTCCTTGGAATGTCCGCTGGATGGCGGTGCATATGCGGTATATATGATGAAAAGATGCGAGATGGTGGTACTTGGAGTGTTGAATAGTTGGACGAACGGACACAAAGACAGATGCATGGACGGACTCACGGATGGCTGCATCAACGGATGGATGCATGGACGGACGCAGGGGCGGATGCATGGACGAACGCAGGGATGAACGCACAGATGGACATGCGGACGCATGAACAGACACACGCACCGACGGGCGAATGGACGCACGGACGGTCACACAGACGGACGCACGTATGGACGGAAGCAAGAACGAAGGAATGGAAGGATGCTTCGCCTCACTATCCATCATTCACTCCATGGATATGCTGCCTTTTTTTTTTCGCGCACCTTGCTGAGGTACACAAACCAGGTTCTCAACAAAAATATTGTCACCACCTTTACTGAGAAACATCACAATCCAAAGTACATGGTGATTGGATGTGTGGTAATCTGTTGGCTGGCTTGCACCGCTTCAACACGGTTGATTGACATCTTCAGATGCGGAGGTTGGAGGAACTGAAAGTCTCAACTGTACTCGTGCAAATAGAAAGCGCACGTGCATTACGTTCTAACGTCTTGGTGCACTATTGATCTTCTGATAACCATTCAGCGATCAGCTGCCAGAAGTTAAGAAGTCATTTTTGTCGAATCTTATGTATATTCTAGTATTATTGTTAAGATAACCTTGTACCTGCTAGCTTTTTTAACGTCAGCTACCCACCCTACCTTTCACCCGATAAACATGTATTTTTCCTAACAATATCACAAACACTTCCTTACAAAACTGTCGACACGAATGAATGGTTTGTTTAATGAGCTTAGTGCTCATAAATCACACAAACCACTGCATTTTATTCACGTGGTCGAAATCGTTCAAGTGTATGAGCTCTTCCAATAACACACTCTCTTCACCACATTACACCTTCACCACATTACATTACTCGCGAAAGCAAGTTGCTTTCGCGAGTAATGAAGCACAGTGTATGCTATAGAAGGTGCGTTTATACCCCTTTCTCCATCGTAAACCATCCACGACGCCCTTCAAGACACCAAATGCGCGAGCTTCGTCGCATTACTTGAAATAACGCAGCCGCTGTTTTTTTTAGTTCGTTGACAGTGCACGCATACAGCCGCAGATGGTGTGTATTTTCGCCACATTTATTCATGGGACACAGACGTGACTTCTGCCGACACAAGCTCGTCCGTGCAGCGGAGAATGAAGAGGTGCTCGATCTTCGCAAATGGTGCTGAGAATGCGTCGTGGCCGCCATGTGGATGGATGATTTACAAGGTGGCCCGTATTTCGCACCTATTTGTCGCGTAATGTTTATGGGCTTCAATGTGGAGCGCGACGCCGGGTAACGAAATCGGCCTGGCGCCATTACATTTGTCGAAACAGGTTCTACAGCATGCATTTATCCACTTCTCACTCGTTACCGTCGGCCACGATCCTGCTCCAGATCGCTATATGAATTTGCGCAGCACTCATGGGTCGCGATCAGAGCAAATTTTGAAACTGTCCTCCTCGTGAACAAGAAAAATTTCAAGAAAGGTTGCTTTGATTGATTTGTGAGGGTTAATGTACCAAAACCACCACATGCTTAGGAGAGACGGTGGAGGGCTCCGTAACTTCCGACCACCTGAGGTTCTTTAACGTGCACCCAAATCTCAGCACACGGGCTACAGCATTTTCGCCTTCATCGAAAGTGCAGCCGCCGCAACCGGGATTTGATCTCGCGACCTGCAGGTCAGTAGCCGAGTAGCCGAGTACATAGCCGCTAGACCACCGCGGTGGGGCATTTCAAGAAAGGTGAAGGAAGCAACGCACCTATAAACGAAAAAAAGGAAATTGACAGAACAGAGCGTAAATTGACGCTCTGTTATGGCTCTGTTTTTTTTTTGTTTTTTTATCTACGTAACTTGCGTCCTTGAACTTTCTTCAGAATGGACCAACTATAGCCCTACAACACGTTATAGTATGAAGTTCTCTGTATGATTTGATCACAGCATGTTTCGTCGCTGCGAAAAGCGGCAAGCCACGAAATAATACCGTTGGTGCGTTAAACACAGTGTTGACGGCAACGCGTTAGAAGTAACGCCTTTACTAATATCGAGTTACTTTTTTTTTACCTCAGCAATATGGTAATACTCGTTACTACTTCATAACTCTAACAGATATCATACTCATCCCAGTTAACACTGGTCGGCAGCGCAAGGTGGCACGTGAATACTGTTTTTTTTTATTATTCTGAATATACTGGCAGTTCTGCGCAGTAGTTCGTCGTCTCGTGGGTTCCACGTTCCGAGAGCTATTATTTTGTCACAGCGTTGCTA